TGAGTTATCTTGTTTTACAATGAACAAGGCTTGCTGGCTGAGTGGTAAAAAAAGTGGATGTATTGAAAATTATAAGATTCCTTCATTTATAATTGATTTGTGTTCTCGAGTCAAATTGGTTCTAATTAGGACATGAAATTAGGCTGAAAAAGTAATGTTGGTAGATACATGTGAACCTCATTGATGGTAAACCATAGAAACGTGAACATGCTTTGTCCTCAGAAGTTTCAATATCATGAAAAAATATTTAAGGTTTACTATATTGTCTATTAGCTAAAATAACCAAAATGATATCCTAAATATTACATGAAGATTTTCTCGTAATAGTAATGTTAAATACATTGAAATAGACTTGTTTAATCTATAAAAGATTTATGTTTATGGGGAGTTTTTTTAACCAGAGCAGCCACTTATATTTATTTGGGCCATATTTTCAATAACAATTCCAGACAGTGAAATTTTTTTCTTCCATATTCATATAACAGCCACCAGTTTTTTTATTCTAGACAGTAGTCATTTTCTGCTTTAAATCAACATAGAAAAAATAACAGTGTTTGATGGCTTTATTTGACCTTTACACTGAGAAGGCTTTATTTGACCTTTACACTGAGCAGGCATTATTTAGCTTATACACTGAGCAGGTATTATTTAGCATACAAATACTGATGCAGTTCCAGCTGCGATGGGCAGGACACGTCTGCAGAATGGAAGACCACCGCATCCCTAAACAACTCTTGTATGGCCAACTAAGTGAAGGAAAGTGCTCGCAATGTGGTCAAAGAAAGTGCTTCAGGGACACCCTCAAAGCTTCTCTGGAAGCGTTCAGCATAGACCCAGCCACCTGGGAGACAGAGGCACATGAAAGAGCATCATGGATCGCACTGTGAAAACTGGCGCACATGTTGCTGAGGAAAAGAGAACAACGCTGGCAGAAGAAAAACACCAGAGAAGAAAAGCAAGGCTGACGACACTAGCTCTAGCTGGAATAACCTGCCCAGTGTGCAGCCGAACATTTCGGGCTCACATAGGTCTCACCAGCCACATGAGGAGGCATAGAACCCCAGTGCAAAGCCCTCAGCCCCCTGGATGACAGTGTCAATCATCAAACCACAATGGACAAACTAAATTATTTAGCTTAAACACTGAGCAGGTATTATTTGGCTTATACACTGAGCAGGTATTATTTGGCTTATACACTGAGCAGGTATTATTTGGCTTATACAATGAGTAGGTATTATTTTGCTCGTTCACAGAGCAGGCATTATACTAAAAAGACATTAATTGGCCTGTATACAGAGCAGTCCACCCAGCTCTAATGGGTACCTGACATTAGTTAGGGAAAAGTAAAGGCGGTTGGTTGTTGTGCTGGCCACATGACACCCTTGTTAACCGTAGGCCACAGAAACAGATGAATTTACATCATCTGCCCTATAGACCACAAGGTCTGAAAGGGAAACTTTTTTTTTTTTACACAGAGCAGGCATTATATTAACAGGCATAATTTGGCCTTAGCAGTCATTAGTATAAGTCGTATAGTATATTAGTTATAAGCAGTTAAGCAGTCACAGTTCTCACATAAAAAAAATTAGTGTAGTCATGCAATATCTCTATTAAATGCAATGTATTTTCTTTTTTTGCATTGACAAACTTTAAAGAGAAAAAGACAAAAATTGAAAGTTATTATATACTGATTTGTACGTTATGTCTTTTTATTATATATTTGCTTTATTCTTATAAACTTCACATTATTGATAAGCTGCTTGGTTGGGGTACAATGCCACCATCCTAAAAGTTTGAAATAAAAGAGAAGTAGCTGCAGTATTTGTTAGTTATTTAACTTCAAAGTTTGTTGTTGTTTTAGTTTTGATCAATGTGAAGACTACAAGAAGGATGCACTACTTCCATCTATAACCTACACACTTGTTCTCAGAAAATGGGAGCCTCCTAACCCAGCTTCAGAGTTTCGATGCTTTGTTCATAGCAACAAACTCATAGGTAATACAACTTTTTAATTCTCCCTTGTAAAGTTGTTTTTGTAAAGCTTCAAAACAAGTCAATATCCCACTGGTCTCTTTGTTATGTTTGAAACGTCCAAAACAAACAAAGGAATGCTGGATGTGATAGCTTTTTCTAAAGGGATCTAAACAAATGGTGGGCAGAGTTAATTAAGTAAGTAACTGAAGATTATTATTATTGATTCTTTCTTTATATTAAAAAAATATAGTATGTTGCAGCTGAATTTACCAGATGATGACCTCTGACTAAATAAAAATTTCTTACCCATAATCATAATTAATTTGACCTGATACTATCCAAAACAATATTTTCATTTTTGTCTAATCTCTGCAGGAGTATGTCAAAGAATTGCCAATAAATTTTACCCTCACATTATTGTCAATAAAAATGTTGTCCTAGAAGATATCTGCGAGTTTGTGAAGATTCACATTGCTGAGAAATTTGTAGAAACTAATTGTAAGTTTGTAGAGAACTTGATAGCAACTTAAGAATTTCTATATAAGCCTTCCTAACATGTTTAGTGTAATCAAATCCCTTTCACCAAAATACAATTGATACCTTTTTTTTTTTTTTGTTCCAGATGTTGTGGATGTAGTTCATGTCAAGCAGGTGACTGGTTCAGTTGAGTTGAAGTGATGATAGAATGAACAAAGTAATGTTGAATTAATTGTTCATACACCTCAATGATGTTTCTATTGAAATATTTGTTTCATTGTTCTCTAGGGTCATGTGATACTAATAGACTTTAACCCATTTGGTCCAGTCACAGATGCTCTGATGTTTACTTGGTCTGAACTCGGTGACCTCATCACTCAGATAAAAGAGGTAAATATAATTGATTAGGGTTGCATTGAGAGCTGATCATTCAGTATGTTTTGGTCAAAAAAAATAAGTTAACACATGTTTATTATTTTAGCTTCCATGTTTTCGCTGTGTTGAAAGTGAAGAAGGTGTTCAGTGCTCAGACTATGCCAACTTTGCTTTTCCACAAGACATTCAGGACTTGGCAGCTGGAGAAGATCCATACAAATTAATGGATTGGATGAAAATTGTAGGTCTAGTAGTCTACCCTGAATTCTTTTTTTTTTTAAATCATTAAGTTTCATTTTTGTTTAATTAAAAAAATAATTATTTTTTTTTGTCATTGCAAGAGAGTAATAAAAGCTCTCCATTTCTCTCTAGTAAAAAGATTGATCAGAATAAGAATTGTAAGAATATGAAATCAGCTGTGATTATTATTACAAATGCTTTTTAGTTCTGAGGTTTTGAATTGAAAACTAGTTGTTCAATTTACCTGCTGAATGTAAAGCTACTCCACATTTTATCTCTAGCTGACACAAAAAGAGTTTGATAGCAGCTCTAGTTCAGAGGAGGAGGATACAGCTAATACATAGAAAATAGAGCCTTCTATTAGGTCAGTCACTATTGCAATTTGTGATTATCAATTGTTAATACATTATTAATAATATGTTGTTCTTTATAGAAAATCTAATTATGTCCATGTATTAAAGATGTTATTGTATTTTTATGAGTGATTCAATTCCTGCTTAACAGGTTTCACTCAGACATCCTCCTGCTTAACAGGGTTCACTCAGACATCCTCCTGCTTAACAGGATTCACTCAGACATCCTCCTGCTTAATAAAAAGACATCTTCCTTCTTTACAAAGTCACTGGAATTGACAAACTGATTATCTTCTATTTTTCAAACAGATTAAAAACACAAGAGCTGCTGAGTCTTTCATTCAACAGAAATTTGTTGTTGTTTTTTGTTGGTCCACTAGCAACACTCAAGAGCAACATTGGACAGTAAAAAACAAAACACTAATTTGAACATTTTGAAACAGTGTTTTCAACTAGATAAGTTACACAATGTCTGATGTTAACAGATTTAGCTGCTTCTTGAGACACATTTGTAGATTCTTCCATTATCTTTGTATTGAGACAGTTCATGAACTATATATTGCCTTATCTATGCAGTATGTCACAGAAATCTTTTTTCACATAAAGTGTTTGTTTTATTGTATAAGTTTTGAACATTCTTCCTTAAATGAAGATTTTTAAACCATAGGGTACACCTCTTGCAGGATGATTTAGTATGGCAGGGGGTATGAATCATATCCATGACCATATGACATACATACCATATGAATATACAGTCATCCAAAGTATACAGATAGATTTAATGTAGCATTGATTGTTATTCTCTGACTAGCTTTTTAAAATAGACATAATATAGTACAGATTTTTTTAACAACAGTTCATGTATATTTCATGTACATTTTTTAATTTAGTGAAATTTTATGTAGTCTGTTTTTAATATTTTCATATTTAATAATAGATTATTTGTTTGTTTTTTGTTTATACCTGTACAATTCTGATAGCATTATATAATTAGGTCAGTTGTGTCACAGCCTCTACTAGGGTGTAGCACTGTGAATGCACTTCTAGAATTCTAGAAACCAGACTAGGAAGGATGTTTACATTAGGAGAAGGATTTCCGCCCAAGTCTAGAGCCAAGTGAAAAGACTGCTAGAGATAGATGTTGTTATAATGTATTTGTGATTTCATGTGAATAAACATCCTTGTCTCCTTGAGTCATCTCACTTAAATTATTACAATAAGCAGGTTGCAACTGGGTTTGCATAGTAATGTGACATACTTCACTAATCCCTAATATTTGGAATCAAGGTTAATGCCGTATTGATACCATTTTAAAAATGTATAAATATAAAGTATATATTCTAGCCAATATACTTATTTTACCTTACAAAAAATATCAATGCAGATTTGAAATGCACTATTGAGACCAGAAGTTTTCTTTTCGAATGTACTGTATATAATCTTGGAAGAAACAAAAGATTTGAAGCGACTACTTTTAAGAAATGTGACCTCTATACACAGTCTACTAGGACATACAAGTTTTATATTATTTTATTGGATTTCATCAACACACATACACACAAAAGAAGATTACAAGTCCATGTTTGACAAAAGAAATCTTTACTACTGATGGAATGTTGTTATAATTGTTATAATATTTGTTATAAATGACAGCACACTACATGTATCAAAGTGTTATCACCATTACCAAAATATTTACAACATACTGAATGTAAAGTCAGAACATCATCATAAACTCAAATGATATTCAACTATATCAGGTTTAAAACAAATGTTTTTTGGCTTCATTTTCAATGTGAATAATAATTTTATATTAAACGTGAAACAATTGGCTTCCAGCACAGAAAATGTGTTAATTTTAATCTTGGCTGGGCAACATCTGCTAGTTAGACTAATAGTCAGTTGTTCTCAATGTCTGCTAACAAGACTAAGAGATAGTTGTTCTGGGCTACTCAAGACAAAGATTCTGATGTTAGCTTCCTATTTTGCTGTCTACTAGACAGTTGACTCCATGCACTGCACTACAAGGGTGAGAACTTCACATGGTGAATGTGAAATAACTGAAAGCTCATTTAGTTGACAGAAATGTCTTTAAAAAACTGTTAGCAATCTGTATTCTGTCAATATTTCATCAAATATGAAAACGTGTGCTAAGGCTTTCAAATAGTAGGAAATGCTCAATTGAAATATGAATAACTGATTCATAGTTAAATTTATACTTTCTCTTGAAATGAATCCCATTTATTTATTTTTTTTACTTTAAATGAATGGGAGTACCAGTTGTACTGCAAACTTTATTTTCTAAAGTTTCTATTTGAGTTTTTCAAAGAACTTTTCCAATTTCAGTTATTATGTTTATTCAGAAAACTGTCTTTGAAGTTAGATCCTGAACCATTTGCTAAGTGCATCCTCAGGTAGAGAAACTTTGCTCCATTGTATAGGTTAGTTCTGAATAGCACACTAATAAATTTTGTTAGAGAAAGTTAGATACATCATTAAACAAAAACAAGTACAATAAACTAATTAAGTACAATAAACTAAACAAGTACAATAAACTAATTAAGTACAATAAACTAGCTATAAATTGGAATAGAACAAGCAAATGAATAGTGTAAATCAAAGAAGAACAACTGACACAGTGCTACTTAAATACTATGGACATATTACACAGTTAGTGGAATGTTTTATTGCATGTATATATACTAATACACAAAATACAGTTCAACCCTAGTATAGCGATCTTCAGCTCAGTTTGTTTAAAATATCCTCACTTTAGTAAAACTGTGTGCATGCTCATTCTCCCAATGACCTCAGAGCTTGGTTTAGATTTTTATAAAAGGAAGTTGAACTGTATTCATAATACTCAAAGGTTAGCCTTGCAATTAAAAAAACAACAACACAGGAGTAACATTTACATTAACAAAAATGACAGCCAAGTCTCCAATCAAGTATTAATACCATCACAATGTAACTGACTTGAGAACAGTGCTAGAGTGTCTGGTAAGTAGCAACTTGTTTGTAGGCAGAGCTGTGACTGGGTGTAGCTTCTTGTCTTCCACAGACTCACAGTTTGTAGCTTCAAAGTGTCCATTTGTCTAGGAAAATACAAGTTGAATATTAGCTGGGTATATTTCTTGCTAACTTATGATATTAAAAAAAAAGCAACTTTAGATATTTTATTATCCTGCAAGTGTTAGACAAAATAAAATTAGAATTCAATGCACCAGTCAAACTGTTTTGTAGTGACTTCTCATGTCCACTTAATACACACATGGCATTTCGCCGAATACTTTTCAGTATTAATCTTGCATTGGATATCCTAATGGAATGCAAAACTAAGACAAATATTGTATTGTATGAAATATAATTTGAAGTGGGTGAGTTTCATTTTGTATATAAAAACAACCATCACAATTTCATGCAGTGAATATGAAAGGGGAAAAAACTATCACATTCTACCTGTCGGTAATTTAAAAAGTCACAACATTTAATCCACTTAAATATAAACTATTCAAAGAATAGACATTGTAAAAGTCACATAAAATTGACTCTGTACAAATCACATAGAGATTCATCATATTAACTCCTTCTCTCCTAATTGATGATACCAACGTCGATTTGACCCCAAGAAATTTAATTAATTTTTGGTTTATGAACATTAATTAGCATTGCGTATAAAGAGCATGAAATCCTCTTTAATTCTATACCAAATTATATCATTTTCTCAAAACCAACAAAACAGTTCTTGAAGTTGAATCCAAACAGGAAAGTGAAATACAAATTAGCAAAATGAGTAATTCCATTGGAAAATAATTATGGAAAGAGTTAAATTTAGAAACAGAATAAACAAAAACATTTATGACAAAGAATGCATCATTTTCACAAGGTCTGAATTTCATTTTCAGTAATAACTCTAAACAAACATTAGAAATGGTTTTAAAACTAGATGCTATTTAAATGCTGGCTACCTGGAGTGGTGGATAAACATGAATAGGGGGAAGCTTCAGAAGTTGAGAACTGCTGAAAGAAAATATTTGTTGTAGTAATCAAATCATGTTGTTGTTTTTTTATTACATGTATCTGACCACTTTAATAAACATTGTTTCACTTTTGTTAACGTTTATATCAAATTATTGTTCTTTTTATTTTTTTTTAATTTAATCTATTGAAGTTTTACTTATGACGTTGTTTTTTTTAAAAAGTTAATTTTTTATTTTACAAAGGTCAAGATAATTACACACACACATAATGAAAATAAAAATAAGTAAACATATGTATACTAAAAAATCTACAGTGTCAGTCTGTTAAAAAACTCTTCATAAAAAAGACACACAAGAATACCTGTAATTAAAAAAATAGGAGTTGATTCAAGTTTTGTTAAAGCAAAATACATCTGAGCTAAGAGTTACTAGGCAATGCAATAAAAATTTGTTTCCTGCATCATTCAAGAAATATATTTCTTTGGCTGATTGTGTGTTTAGCATACACTAGGTAAGCTAAGTGATCCAATATTTACTGCTTTGTTTACATTAAAAGATTAATAAATACAATAAACATGATCTTTGGTATCTTAACTTTATAAACATGCAATTAAAATATTTATACAAATGATTTAGTAGAATTTATATTTAAACTTTAAAAAGTTTAATTTAGATTAGTTTTATTTGGTAAAGTTAGTTTTACTTGGTAAAGTTAGTTCAACCAGTCTACTTAGTTGGATTTAACCAAACAATTGTAAAGGATTATGTATTCTCTAGAACTGAGAAGTTTGTGTTGAAGTGAAATTTGAAAGTAACAAGAAACTCACTGGTTGTTTAGGATCAAATTTGTGATAATTGTTATTTATTTGGATTTTTTTGTTTTCTTGTGTAAATATAATATGCAAGTGCACAGATTATATGGTCTCTTATACAAAATAAATACTCATGAACAGTTATTTTAATTATTCTCAGATTATATGGTCTCTTGTACAAAATAAATACTCATGAACAGTTGTTTTAATTATCCTCAGATTATATGGTCTCTTATACAAAATAAATACTCATGAACAGTTTTAATTATCCTATTAACTAAGTGAGAATCTTTTATTAATAAGAAATACAGAAACAATCAAAAGTCACTTCTAGTCTATATAGTTAGTCATATTTGTTTTCTACTGTTTTCAGTTTTTCGTAGGTCTACTTTTACAAGCGTTCATGACAATGGAAACTTCAAGTACACACTTTTAATTTGTTAACATGACAATGAACAAGAAATATGTTAAAAATGAAAACAAAATGTGAGTCATCTTTTTGACAGTTAACAAATTTGACTTCATATCAACTTTGTGCTTTGTAAATATCACATCACATAAATAAAGATTTGTAACTGTTTTTTTAAGACTAAATAAGGATGATAGAAAGGATAATTATATTTTTTTGAAGATTAGAGTTACACACAATACATGACATAGAGGGATCAAGTTTGTTAACTGATATAATGCCCCCTCAAAAAAAGCAAATACTATTAATATCCAATCTACCTCTCCTGAAGAGGCTGCTGTTGCAGGTTTAACATTTCTCCTATGTATTTATAAACTGCTCTGTAGGCATTCAATGGGAAAAATAAGAACTTGAATTTCCGATTTCAAAAGAAAAGTAAATTCTCATGTAATTATTTTCAGTTTAAATCAAGTTAAACCAAAGTTTACATCAATGTCCAAACTGCATTTTCAAGGCTGTTTACAAAATTAAACAGCAATTAAATATATTGCAGAAGAACTGCTATTCAATTCAACTTTAGTAATATAATTTGTTTTTCAAAATATGACAGTCATTTCTGAAAGTTGGAAGCTTTTAGTTTAGTTTTCTTAGCACATATTTAAAGATTTATATAGGGAAGCAATCAAAGTGAGAAAAAAAAATGGGTTTTATTATTCATTATTGTTTTTAACAGTATCTCAAAAAGATAACTATTACTTGCTACTGATTTGATCAATCACAATAATGATTTAATTTCATGTTATAGTTTCTTATTACTACAGTGCCAGTGTATGTACAAGTGACCTACATTTAATGCTTCATTATTATTACATGTTCACACTACCAACAACTAACACCTCAGTTGCACTTCATGTATTAAATTATAGATATCAAAGTCCCAATGTAAACAACTAGCAAATATAATAAACAGAAGGCTTTGTGACAACTTTTGTATTGCTTTGTAGAGAAACAGTTTTGATTTTTTTCTTTCTGTTTTATTGAACCACAGTTTCACAAGCCATATTCCTTTAAAATGTTCACAGACTACCTGGGAAGGTTATAAAGATGACTTAATGTTGTGTAGAGTATCCTCTGTTCTTAGCATGCAATTTTTGAATTGTTTTTTATTGATAAAGGATTTTGTATGAGAATCACATTACACACATTTCCTTGATCAATGCAATCTGTTGGTGCTTAGCTAAGTTAAAGTTTCTTGCATGTTCTTATGAGATATGAAATCTGTTCCCAATTTAGCTTGAGTAATTTGTACTGATACAGAATTTTATTAGAGGAGCGTTACAAGGCATTTATTTCAAAGGGAGTCAGCTTGGGCTTAGTCATTGTTGTACCAGTACAGGCCCAGTCATAATTTATCTAGTGCAAACATCTGTTGAGCTAATGGGGTTCTGTTGGTCAGTGATATGAGACAGACAGTGGATATCTCATTAGTCTAGGTCTTTCCATTTCAATACATAGTTTCATTCCATATTAAATGCTTTGTTACCATTTCATGGTCATTGTTATCCATTGTAATTGTGCCAACAACTGGGTGATAAACAATCTGTTTGGGCCCAGATATAAACAAGCATGATTGATGTTAGTTAAATAGAACCTCACAATTAATATAGTAATTATATTACAATGCTACAAAATGAAAATAATATTTTCCTTTAAAGCTTAGGTTTTACAACACTGCCCCGTAAATTGATAAAAAAAAAAAAATAAACCAGCATTATAACCCAGAATGAAAATGAGTTGAATGTATATTTATAGTGTGTAGGTGCTTCAACTTTCTGCCTGAGAAGTTGTTTACCTTTACCTGATATTGTTGGCCTGACTTTGTGATAAACCCACATTGTTGTCACTGACTATCTCTGACTTTAAGGTACCTGAGCTGCCATAGTGGTCAACACCAGCACCTCCTATTTCCCCACCCCAAGGTGCTCTGGGTCCTTGTGGTCCCTGTGAAGGACTAGAGGAATCAAATACAATGAATCTTTATATTTAAAAACTAGGTATGAGCAATAGAATTATGATAAAAATTATATCCTTTTTTAAATATATTTGAACTAGATCTATATTTAATAAAAACATTAATAATATTTCAGCACCATTACTCTCCAACTGACCTGAATCTGAAATCTGGAGGAAGTGAAAAACCATGAGTAAAATCTAATCTTGACTGAAGGACCTGTTTCTGGAAATCTTTTCTAGCATTACCATAGCCATTGAATATATGGTCACAGAACAGTAGCTTTCCTTCACAATATATCTAGAGCATAAGAAAAAAGTTGTATGTATTGATACATTCAATTGAAATTTTAATTTCATTATTT